TTCTTTTTTTTCTCAAATTACCATAGACACTTTAGAACCAGAAGCCATATTACTTACTCTTAACAGAATCCCTCTGTGGAACCAAGCACAAAGCTCAGTTATGGGAAGATTAAATATAACAGGAGAAAGAGAAAAGACTCCTCTGAACTACGAGTGTACAGGACACTATGTTACGTACTTCATCTCACATTCCAGATAAAAGAATTTCTGGGCTCAAAAATGGAAACTTTGCACATGGTATAATATTAAGTTAAAAACTGTTGGCACAGTGGGATTCCATATTTTATATTCAAATTCTTTTAGAGATCTTCATGTTTGATTATTGGAAGAATAATGTTTTAAGAGAAAAAAATATTATTTCTGAACTTTTAGACTTCTTTGTTTACAAATACAAGTTAATATCCCTTATTTGCCAATATGTTGAGTGCAAACTGTCATCAGTGTATTAAATGCTGTTGAGTATAACGTTTTTTGCTTTATTTCTAAAATGTTAGTTGCTTGAAATAATTATACTTTGGCTAATAAGGAGATTATTGTCTAATATATTTTGAGATAAAATCTCATATATTGCTGGCTTTAAAATCAAGAAGCATTTGTTAAGTACCTTCTTTGCTTTGTAATGTATTGAAACCTGAAACGTAAAGGGAACAGAATAGGGAAGAGGAAGAAGAGCAAGGCCAAGTTTGTCTGGGAATGTGCAGTGTCATGGAAAGAGAAGATTTGAATGAAACAGCAATAGAATTTCATAGATCGAGGAAACCCCAACAACACACAATCGAAAGTTTTTGTTTCTCAACTAAGGAAACATGCCCACTGAGGTTAAATGACATGACCTCAATTGTCCAGCCAGCGTGTCGTTATAGAAGGTGCCAAGAGAAAAGTGGGAATTGTGAGTGGGATTGAAGAATGTGGGATATGTTGAAATTCAATTCATATTTCTATGTTTCAAGCTTTATGCTATATTCTTCCACACTTACTCTCTCTTTTACAGGATCATAACAAGCTTATATGTTAAATATTATTAACTGATGTCCAAGGAAATGAAGTAGCTTTTCCAAGGACGCAAAAGCATTATACAACACATTCACAATCACATGTTGTGACTATAAATATGGACTTCTGTAGCACACTGATTTGGTGGGTAAAGGTATTCCAAGTGTTCAGTTTTTCTGAAATAAGAAACAGGATTGATATGTTGAAGGAAGGGTAGATAAAACATCTTGCTTAGCAAGAAGAGAGCTTCCATACTGGGAATTAGTGAGATGATTGCTTCTATTAAAAAAAGAAAGAAAAAAGAAATACACAATTTACCCATAAAATCCAAGGCGAGTTTGTTTCATAAAACAAGACAGAGTATTATAATATTAAAGCAGAAAGGAAGGGAGGAAGGGAGGGAAGATTAATAATATCTGAAATAAAACTTAGCCTAGCTGATGGAAAATACTCCATGTATGTTTGTGAATGGTTGTGATATATATTAATATCTAAAACTGTCAGAGAAATAAAAGGATGCCACATAATATAACAGTAATTATCTCTATGTGGTATATTATAGGTAATATTTTTCATTCATTACTTTTTTCTTCAAGTTTTTTACAGAAAACCTGCATTTATTTTATAATTTAAAAAAATTAGTTTCTATAAAAAGAAATGAATACACGCAAACTACATTATTTGCTGACTTGAAAACATTGTTAAATTCTAACCTATAACAGATATAAATTTGAGCTAAAAATTATAATAGCTTGTACTCAATTAAAAGAGTTCATTATTTTATTAATGCATTCTTTTCATTTGATTTTTTCCTAATTAGGATTAAAAACTTAAGTTAATATTCTATCTTTTTTCATAAACTCCTCACAATGAATTTGTAGTTTTTAAAGGTCATCTTGTATATAAGCAGATACTTGCAAATATGTATTTTAAAATTTTACGCTGGGTTTTGGCTGGTAAAGTTGACCAATATTATCTGATTATGCTAATAGAAGTTTAAAAAGAATATCCATTTTCGTCTTTTACACATGTGGAATGTATTTCTGGGCAAATACTGAATCCTTATAATTTAGGTTGGTCTATACAATTTCAAGCATTACATTTGATTTATAATAAGCACATATAAACTCATACCGACTATATTTGTATTAGCTCCTTCGTTTTTTAATTTCACAGAATATTATTACCTGTGACTTTAGTTCGTAATCTGCTTTAAGGTTTTGTTTCAATTTTTCTGTTACATACTTATGCCATTTATTAAGGTCTGTTTTCTTGTGATGTTCTTTAGAAATCAATAGGATAAATGGCATTTGTTTTCTGCTTTTTCTTCAAAAATGTCCTGAAAAACAAGTAGTTTGTTTTTCTTTGGAATTATTCAAATTGTTACAAGCTAAACATCACAAATTTTAATTTCTTCTGTTAGCATTTCTAAAGCAAAGTCTATTAATACCAGTATTTTAACTGCATAGCTTAAAACACAACAAGTTTCTAAAGTATCTCTGCCCGTTATTTTCAAATAGAATACTTTATGATCAGGATTTAGTTTTCAAAACACAATTTTTATTAATTAATATCCAGGTATAGCCTCCCTATTAAGAAATTTACACGTTTATTTTTTCCATAAAAATCTTCACTGAAGTCACATCACAGAATTGAGAATTGTCACAAGAATTACATTTTTCTGTTACATTTTTCCGAATGTGCTGATGTCTCCATAATGCTTCATTTGCCTGCTTTGCATTGAGATGTCAGGTGCTTGAGGGTAAAAAGAATACAACCTTACTGATTGTTTTGTGTTATCTCATTGCCTGGATCTAAAAATGTTGAGTGATTGCACATCTCTGACACTGTTTTGAATTTTTTAGCCCAGTAATTTTGCCTTCAGTATTTATTTCTAACATTAGAGTTGCTTATTTGTATTACATATGGAAATTGCTTTGGTATTTTGTCTATGACTGACCATAGTTAAGTGGATTTCCATCAAATCTCTCCAGAATTAGGAAATGGAAAGCATTTATTTATAATGTGATCATACAGTCATATTTAATGTGATCTTGCAGTCTCATACAAATAATATAGTATTCTATTATTTCCTGTTAGTTATTTTTTTCTCACTTCAGAAATGGATAATTCAGCATGATCTTTCTACTGCCATACTATTATTCCTAATCATTGACACTTCCTGATGGAAATAATCATTTTTTGACTGAGTTTAAACTTAAGCCACTTTAAACAATTAAAAATAAATGTATTTTTTAAAACTAACAAACTGCATCAACTGACAGTTATAAGCACACATAGATCACACTCAGGAGGCCTTCCTACAATAATCATTTCATATTAAGAACACCTCCTTTCTCAAAGATGAGCGATCTTCAGGCTGTATCATAGTCTCTTCCAAGTCTTCAAATTGTAGTGTGTTTTTTTTTTTTTTTTTTTTTTTCCCCAAAAAAAAAAAAAAAAACTCCCCAGCCGCCCACCCTTTTTTTTCAAATTGTAGTTTAACTATGCTCTCTACAAAGAATCAGCATCTGTGGTTTCGTCATAATGTTACCCATATGCATGCTATGATTTTTGCTCATTCAGCTACCTTTGGGCTGTGAAAATTTCTTAGATGTTCTCTGAAAATTTCTCATGAACCTTCTTTCCTGAGAATAGGCTTTCTCAAAACACTGTGATAACAAAAGGTCAATAATGCATTTCACATTGTTTAACAAATTCAGCATGTGACTTTCACCCAAGAAGAAAAATAAAATATGTGAAAGGTCAATTCTGGTTTGAAGGAGGGGAACAAACAAGAAAAAAAAAGGGGGGATGATAATGGCTAAGTATACTTTTCTTGTTTTAAATGTTTGTAGTGAGATTTGAAAGTCCAATATTTCTCTACCAAATGAAGTAAAACAAAATTTTGTGGTTTTTTTTATATTCAATCCTCTAGATATATTTGATCTTCTCTGAAAAGTTTCATAAATTATTTTTAAAAAGAAAAAAGAAAACAATTCTATGTAAAATCTAAGGCAAGTGTTTAAATACAGCAATGACAAGAATATAATAATCTCCTTATATTAGGATGGCAGGGTACATATTGCTCTGAATAAGAGATAATAAACAGAAAATTACAGAAAAACAAATAATTTATTAAATTTAGTCAATTTATAATTAGACAACTTTGAAAGTAAGATAAAATCTACACCCTTCCTCTTTTAGCAGTTTCCACATAAGATAATGACTATACCAAGAGGTCTTGGAAACCCCCTTCCATGTCAGAAGTGATGATTAACTATTGAGTTTGCATACTTTTCAGGTGAACAAAGTGGTGGATCTGAACATTTTGGAGCATTTTGTTGCATTTTTAAAAGAATAGTATAAAATACTTATCAACTTTGAAATATATTTATGAAAACTTTATAAATGGTGAATTATTTACAAATAATATATGTGTTTTATGTTGTTGTTCTTCTATGGGTTGAGGCGATGTTTTTAATTAGCTTTAGTAAAATGTGACTTGGGCAATTGAAGTTGAATAAATCACTTAGTATAATATAGCTATGCACTTACTTGTTTGGATTTTCAATTGAAATAATAGAGATCTTGAAAAACTGTAGACATAGATTCAAATTCTCTTTTTCTGGGAGAATTATTTAATAATGGCTTAATTAAGTAATTAAATCACATTAATTACTTAATCAATGACTGTACCTATTGTCATATTAACTCTTTCTGAGAAAATACTACTCTATATTATAGATGTTTGCTGCTAACTCATTTTGAGTATGAGATTATGCAGTAATATTTACCTACATTCCAGGTGCTATGACCTCAGAAATAAGAAAGAAAATAAAGGATAAAGGAAAATAAAATGAATGTGTTAAATTTTTAAATGCTTAAGAAAATATGATTTCTTCAGCAATCTTCTGTTTAATTTTACATAGTATACTTGCTATAGGCTGTATTGTATGTGTCTCTAAATTTTTCTCTTCTGGGTTTGTGTGTGTCTGTTTTTCCAGTTATTGGCTGACAAACAAAGTTCCCATCAAAAGACCCAGCACAGGTCTCCTCATGTATACACTTGCCACAAGATTCTGTGATGAAATTCACCTGTATGGATTCTGGCCATTCCCTAAGGATTTAAATGGAAAAGCTGTCAAATATCATTACTATGATGACTTAAAATACAGGTACTTTTCTAATGCAAGTCCTCACAGAATGCCATTAGAATTCAAAACATTAAATGTGCTTCATAATAGAGGCGCTCTGAAACTGACAACAGGAAAGTGTGTAAAGCAATAAAGCACGTTTGAAAACAGACAAACTGTATATGAACTTCTTTTCTGAAGATGCTTCCTAAGATTTGAAAATAGGATCCAAAACAAGGCTGGGTTTCAGCATCCACCAATTATCTGAAAAGTGATAAAGGACATTCATGAGAAATTCACTACCAGCTGATGAAATACCTGCAAAGTGCTCTAAAAATTAAATATTTTGACTTCAAGGGTCCTAGTAAGTGCCACTTCCACTAAGAACACAGTTTGAATGTATAATTAGTAGTGTTTACAAGATCCAACAATTCACTCGTCATTAGTTAACAAAGCCAATACGTTCATCACTGTTGGGCTGCCACTGCAACAACAAGCACATGAGAAGAGGAACCCAGGAACACGACTCAGTCCTTGGGGAAACTAACCATCCTTGTCAGCAGATATGAAGATGGAAACAGTTTGAACAGTGAAATTCATAAGATTAAACAACTCAAATAAATGCCTTTCAGTCAGGACTCTGAGTCTGATCATGAATTTTACATTTTTGCTTTTGTTTTTTTTTTTTCTGTTTTTGTTTGTCCTCTGGAATCTCTTTTGGTTTGGGTATTGGGGTGCTTAGAAATCCTTTCTAAGATAAATATGAATGAGATAACCTTCAAGTAATCATTTCTAAAATTCTTATATTTTTAAAGAGCAATCACACAATAATTTTGTAAAAAGTTTTATTTTGCACAACTCTAAACCTCCAGATTTTTTCCCCAGTGGTGTAGAAAGTACCAGTTAAACTGTATCACTTAGTAATCTTGAGCCATTCTAAAGGAAAGATGTTCTATGTCATCTGAGATGGTAAAATTAGCTGGAAAAAAAATGGACTTTTGGTACCAAAGAGTATACTAATGTTTCTACACAACAAACCATTCTCCTTTCATAAAAAATAATATATTAATGTATTAGTCTACTAATGTAAAAGTTGTCTCTAGGTAATTTAAATTTTCCAAGCTCAAATTTTATTTTTATTTGAAGGAAGACTTCCACAGCTTTTACATTTCATAATAATTTTGTGGAAGCATTTTGCCCCCTAGAGTAAATGTTTGACTGATAGGGCTGAAATGTGACTTCCAGTTCTTTGATATTCCCCTCATTATTCAAATGGGAAGATTGGCATGCTCTTTATATCATTGTTAAATTTTCTTAGTGCATAAATAACATGACTAATAGAATGTTGTTTTCATGAAAGAGATGATTCATTTTAAGAAGTTTAATAATGAAACTATGTCAGTTTTTTTACTTATAAAGAATTAAATCAACCAATATTTTTTCCGTGGTTAAATTTATTCACATTATCATGTTAACGTATTCTTGAAGAAGCACACAAAATTATTAATAAAGTGATTTAAAATGTTTTAACATATAACAGAATTGACCAATGGGCCAGTTTTCTGGTAATTTATACTACACTGGTAGGTAATTCTGATGGTAAATTGTTTCTTTAGAGAAAAGTGCTGTGTTCCCACTTCTACTCTTGACCTGAAACAACCTAGATGACTTCCTATTTCTTAGGCAAGGCAGACTGAGGAAAGAACAGCATGCGGAATATGTGTTTTGTTTCTTAGGGAAGACAGTCTGAAAAAAGAAAAATAGCATGGAGTATATATATATATATACACACATACACACATTATCATGAAAAAAGACTTTTACAGTAGTACAGTTCTCAATATATTAACGATACGAGGTATTATTTTTAAAAATATGGTAAATTGTGGGATACAGAAAACTATTTTCTGAGAATTCATGTCTCTTTAAGAAACAAAATAGAATTCATAAAAGATACATAGCTAAAAATGGATAGAACATGATGTACTTTCATCATTAATCTCGTATCTATTTGAAATTTAAAAAGAAATAGACACATATTTTGAATGTAAAGTTGAAAAGTCTGATTTACTTAGCAAGTCAAAGGTAAATAATTTATAAAAACTTAATTTCAACTATTTGTGGATAAGATTTTTGAGGAGCCTTTAATTTGAATTCAATAGATATTTTGAAGTCAGGAGTAAATTCTTAAATAAACTTTGTCTCAGAACTCATTCAAAGTATGTCTTTAAAAGGAGCAGTAAGGTACCTTGCCCTTTTTACTGCATTTTCAATAAATGTATTTAAACAGTTTTAAGGCCACAGCAAAAGCATCTCAGCCATTCACTGTTCTGTGCATTGAAGTTTATCTCATAGATGCATTGAGTAGTGCCTTTTTAGCTTCACGTTGCTTTGTTATCCTATGTTTTGTGTTCTCTAAATACGTTGCCCAGTTTTGAAAATGTTCAGCATTTAAAAAGGGCTTCAGTATCGACTGAGACTACTTTTGTTCATCTCAGGGAACTTTCAATACTCAAGAATGAATTCAATTAAAGGCATTTAGTGTTCAAAGAATACAAACTGAACAAGATCATTTCATTTCCTATTGAATACCTTTCCATCTAACCCCCTTCACGATCTACTGTGGCCTTCCTACAGGGATGGAGCATGGAGATCACTGAAGGCTAACAGCAAGAACCAGAAAAAGAATCAAAAGGGATCACGATAAAATCAAATTATAAATACATACTTGAAATATCTGGAGTTTTTTTCTTTTGAAACTATTATATGTTCACAGCTTAGTTTTTCTTTTTTCATGATTTAACCTTGTACCTGGCAACGTTCAGGCAGCCGATTGTGCAGTATTCCTGTCCTTTAGAGAACGTGGTTGTTTTTGTGCTGTTGACATGAATGGACCATGGAAACATTTTCGTCATCATTACCCAGCCTGTTCTATACTTAATATTAAGTTGCTGGAATAAAAAAATGAATCAGTAACAGATTTTCTGGGCAAATCAAATGATTCAGCCCACAAAACTGACAAAATTACTGTGGAAGTTTTTTCTATCTGAAAGAAGGTGCTGGGCATTCAAATGTCTTTATGTATTGTATATCATATGAAATGTATGTCAATTGCTAATGGGAATTTCTACACATATGCTTATAGAAGCAATTTATTTAAATAATGCTATGCTTGCATTGGTGGTATAGTGGTGAGCATAGCTGCCTTCTAAATAATGCTATGGGTAGTGTACATACCAACTAGTTATTAAGCTACCACACAGGAAAAGGGTGAACAAAATAATTTACTTCTAATTGAGCCAGTTAGTCATAATGCACCCAATGTGGTATTTGGTTCATAAAAGAGTTGTTTTCACGTGGTTATTGTTGGGAGTAGCTATAATTGTGGAAGAGGTGTAGGAAGAGTTAAATAGTTAGTTGTTACCTCTACAAGTTTGAAAGTTGCCCCACAAACATTATCAATATACCAATGTTTTAATATTGAGTGAGAGAGGATTATTGTTCATATGTAATGAAAGAAAATCCAAATAAAGCCCACCTAGAAATAGATATTTTATTATGTATGTGCTATAGACATATCTATATAGTACAAATAGACATGTGTGATGCATATATACAATGTTATATATGTGTGTTTGTGTGTATACACACTGAGTTTGTAATATGCACACATTAGATTTGTGTTATGCTAATGTCTTCAGGGGCTGCACCGTGAAGCACTCTGGAGATAAGACCACTTTGGAATAAAGAAGTTCTTTTGAGACTTCCATTATTAACATGCTTTAAGAGGGATCTGCTTTATAACTGAATTCTACGTTGTTCATATCAGAGTAACAATAAAGGTCTGTCCAAATCTTAAAAAAAAGTAAAGAAAAATTAAGAAAAAAATGTCTTTGAGTTGGCAATGTATATGAATTGCAGTTTTCAGGCCCTGTGTCTCCCATTTAAGTAGCACCTTTTAATAGATACTGTTTGTGTAAGCAAAAGCACAAGGGGTTCAAATGTATATAGCAGGAAAAAGAGTTTACAGAGATAGCATTGCTGCACAAAATAATTGCTACTGAATATTTCTTATATAATTTGTGGAACTGAAAGATGAAGTTTATTCCGTCAAGTTCATTCTGTTCAACACTGTTTCCCTATTTATGTATAGCAATTGAGTGTTACTGTTTTATCATTGGTAAAATTGTAAAATAAATTAAATTTCTTTTTTTTTTTCAGTGTTTCTCTTATCTCTTATATCCAAGCCTTCGGTCTACTTTATATATCAATATCAAGTGATAGTTTTTAGCAAGCTTTAGCTAGTGCTCTTGTCTTCCCTGCCTCTGATCCCCAGCCATTGGCAATTTTGGCAAATCATTTATTTTAAAGTGTACGCACAGGAATGTGAACAATATCAAAAGCCCCGTGAACATCAGGAAATTCTTAATATTTTTTTTTGTGGTACATTCTGTTGGTAGTTGAAGGAATGGAGTGCTACACAAGTTACAGTAATTTATATCCAATTTATATTGATGTCAGTGAGTCACTCCAGCTTCACGGCTGGAGAGGTCAATGACTTAACAAACTGCACATTCTTAAGGCTGCTCTTTAGATTTGTGATTTCAACTGCTATTACATGCACTTGCTATTGTTTGCAGTTCACCTTCCAGGAGATGATTCTGAAAAACTATACGTTTAGATCTTCCATGGCTTTTTATAACCGGCCAGTCTATGTTTTCAGACTCTACACTATTTTCTCCAAAAATTATTACAGGAGGTCACTTTTAGCCTTCTTTAATTTTGAAATATTTGCTAGAGACTAACAGTGAAACATTGACAATGATTAATGAATTTAGATCTTACTTATATTTGCATAATTACATTTTACTTTCAAAGATCCATATACTCTTGGTCATTCCTATCTATTCTCAGGATATTATCAAACTTCATTATGATCCTATGAGACGCATATTGCAAATATCCCCATTTTACAGATGAGATTAAGTGAGAGGTTGTGTGACCTGTTGACTGTCACAAAGCTTAGAAGCGAGAGAATCAGGATTTGAACCCAAGTAGTCAGCCTGACTTCAGTGCTCACTGTCTTAACCATCACATTTTGCTGGCACATCTGTTTAACTGGCAAGAAGTTCCCTTGGAAGCTTAAGTTTGGAAATAAATTATTTTTTAATGAGCACAAATCAAAACATAGATAAGTATATAAGAGGAATATATAATTTAGGCTTTGGGACAGTCTAATAAATGACTCCTGTCCCAAAATAAAGCAATCATCTTTAACAACAAGATATGTATCTTTCAGGTCAGTGGCTTTCCCCCTGGATGATGCTGCATAAACACTGCGAATTCTTGTTACAAGTCTTCTTATATATATATTTTCATACAAGCTGGATTGCTCTTATATTAGAATCGAACTTTGTGTATCAGAAAATGCATTATATTACCACTATTTTAAAGTCTAATTGTGAGGTTGTTATACAAACATTTTGATTGAATATGGGTGTTTCATTCATCTCCATTTACAACTATTTACAGAAATTTCTTAAGTTTGAACTTCTGCAGATGGCTAAGTTCATCCATTTTAAATTAATTTTTTTAAAACTAGTTTCTCTTTCTTCCTGGAAATGGGAGAAACTTAATTTTCTAATTAAAGAGGTAGCTCAGTGATTTTACCCTATATAATAGCTTCATTGTGCATGACCATATGAAAGAAAAAAAAAATTGGATATAAGAATAAAATTATTGTTTGATCCATTCCTAAAAGATAGATTTTAGTCACTTGGTTGCTTAATTTCTGGAATCCCAAGAAAGTATGAGAAAGAATTGAATGC